ATATCAGATTGAGACCAGGTAATGAGATTGGAGAAAAAACTTACTTTTAAAGTGATGTCTAGTGTGCTGACCAACCTGTTTGTGATGTTTTCCTAGTTGTATATCATATTGCAACAAATAAAGAGTTCTCTATTAAGGAGTGTTGAATGGATCGGTGCTCAGTCAGTGTGGGTACGCCAGGTTTAGGCTTAATTGGATTGATTGGAGATGGATTTGTTTGGAGTCTTGTTGGAGAAATTGAGTATTCTTTATTCAGCCCCATACTTGAAGGATTCTACAGCGTGGCTAAGAAGTCTGGCTCTTTCCCTACTAAATCCTGCTACAAGGCTCTCATAGGTGCATTCCAGAAGGTCACATGGAGATGGATTCAGAGAGTACAGGTTCCATTGAAGACCATTTTCTTCTTGTGGATGGCTGGCTGGGATAGAATCCAACTCAGTGATGTGCCTAAAATCTGTTGCTTACAACACAAGTAGAGTTGTTTCCTTTAATCAAAATAGCAAATCAGTGAAAATATTCAGAAATATCCAAAAGGTCCTATAAAATTTCATAACACTCATCATAGAAGTTCATTGAGAAACAAAATGGACTCAAGGTCTTGTCTTCATTGAAGAATATATTGCCCCTTATCTTTTGGAAGGATCATGACATTCCCTCAGATAAGGCCTTCCAAACATATTTGAGTAAATCTCTATGGAATAGATAACGATTTCCCTTTCTCTCACTTCTTGATTCTTGATTTCTTTCCCTTCTGCATTTAGCTTACTAATATATTTTATCCGGCACTTTCCATTTGCTTACCTGACTACCTGTAGAAGAGCTTGACAATGTCAAATCAACACCCTCTCTGATCCACTGCATCGTAGACCGTTGCTCCAATCTTTCCTTCAGATAGCTTTCTCCCATTCTTCTCTTATTGCCTCCTTTCTTGACCATCAGCATCCAGATTGCCCCAACTTCTTTTGCATTAAGATCTTGAATTTTGCCCAAACTTATTGCTGTTATTTATTTCTAAGTTCTTTATTTATTTTATTTCTTTTTGATTGGTAACTTTAAATTTTATTCATTAAAAAGAAACAAGATATGTACATACAATCCCTTACAAGTTGCTACCTCTCAGTTTAATGACACATTACAACTTAGTGGAATACAATTGTTCCCTATTGACCCCCTGCTTAGCTAAAGAATCAGCCAGTCCATTAGCCAAATTTTGGACCCATTTTATCCTTGTAACCAAATTGCTAGTAAACCACTTAAACTTCTTAACTTCATCTCTATAAGCTCAAACCACAAGTCCCAGATTCTTAACCAATCCACCACCACCTTAGGATCCCCTACAATGATCAACTTCTCCATATTCATGTCTCTTGCCATTTGCATCCCTCAAGATACAGCTATGAGCTCAACCCTTATGGTCCCCAAGTATACATAAGATATAGACTTAAAAAAAAAGATGATAAATAAAGAATAAAGCCTTATCTATATCTCAGAAGCATGATATATTGCTAAAAATATACTAAGCGACGGTAAAAGATAAGATAAAGGAAAAGAGAGCCGATAAGGGCTCTAAGATAAGGAGAATTTTTAAGGAAAAGATCAAAATAATGCAATGCATCATTCCTTCTGCTCTTGCTTACCTGCCTCGCTCATACTAGTCATTCCCAGTCTCGTCACCAGCAGAAAGCACAATAGCAATTAAGTAAACACGAAAAAATTTCA